GGGTGGACGCAGACACTAGTGTTAAGTGGAGAATCGTTTGAATGGGGTCTAAGGCTACAGGTGGGCAATTTGTTCATCATTTTTCACTTTGTTTCCAATGCAACCCTGTCACCTGTGGGGATGTGTGTTGTGAATACGAGGACCACAGGGCTGCCCTGTATTTCTGAATCGTAGCTGTTTCCAAAATGCAGCCCAAGGCACCCGATTCAGAGTGGCCTGGTGGGATGGACATGAACTCGAGGGTATTGGGTTCCCGGGGAGGGGAGAGGGGGCACTGAGGGTTCACTGGCACCCCCCGCCCCCCAGACTTGCCAGGTGCTCGGCTCTGACCCACCCTCCCTCCCCAGGTATGATGAACTCGAGGGTATTGGGTTCCCGGGGAGGGGAGAGGGGGCACTGAGGGTTCACTGGCACCCCCCGCCCCCCAGACTTGCCAGGTGCTCGGCTCTGACCCACCCTCCCTCCGCAGGTATGGAGAGTGCAATCACGCTGTGGCAGTTCCTGTTGCAGTTGCTGCTGGACCAGAAACATGAGCATCTGATCTGCTGGACCTCCAACGATGGTGAGTTCAAGCTCCTCAAAGCAGAAGAAGTGGCCAAGCTGTGGGGACTCCGCAAAAACAAGACGAACATGAACTACGACAAGCTGAGCAGAGCCCTGCGCTACTATTATGACAAGGTAGGCCCTTGCCCGACTGGAGGCTGTGGTGGGGAGCTGGAGCAGGGTGGGGGGCCTCCATCCACCATGGTTGAAAGCACATAACCGTGTACTGTGAAGCAAGTTAGAAAATCAAATAGAGGCGATGTATGCAGTTTTGGTTGTTGTTGTTTTTTTGAGAAAAACAGCTATGGAGATTTTTTTTTTCCCCGGAAGCCCTTTGGGTATGACTGCAGGTCCAATTCTAGGCCTTCTGCATTTTCACCTGTCGTAGCTGCAGGCCTCTGTGAGCAACAGAAATTAGATGTGGGTAGGTTGTGGGGCTTCCCTCACGGCTGCTGGGGTGACAGGATGAATGTTAAAATCTAGAAAGTCTGTTGATCTCAACTGGTTTGTAGTTCCCGCACCTGGGCCTTTCCTGGGGGATGGTAGCTTAGGTCTTTCCTGGGGGGATGGTAGCTTGGGCGTTTCGTTCAGTGCCTCTGGGTCCTCATTGATAAACCAGGATCCTACCAGTCCTGGCTCAGGATCCCTGTGAAGACGCAGCGAGTGTCATGTGGTCAGTGTTACTTAAAACCAAGCATGTCAAACTCGCGGCCAGTGGGCCACAAACCTCATTTATTTAAAGGAGTCCTGCGGCCCACTGCCCTTGAGTTTGACATGCTTGCTAAAAACAGTGCTCAGTACATGGAGTTTGAAACTTCCCTAATCCAAAGACAAACCACGTTCCTTTTTAAGTCACAGCATCGTTGCCAGAGCCAGGACAGTTGTGCGTTTTAATCATTTCTGGAAAAAAGCAGTTAATGTGCCTACTAGGGCAAAAAACAACAACATTGCTCTTTAGGGGCAATCGCTTCAGGCCTGGAATTGTTGACCATTTCTGCGTGGCTCTGTTGTTGCCGACCATGTAGCCTCATCGACAGAGAGACTTGGTCTTAATGAGGGAGAGCTTCTGTTCTGGTTTTACTGCTGGTATCGAAAGGTGGATTAAAAACTGATTTAAGTATTAGTTCCCGATCTATATTTAACGATTCCTCCTGCCAGCCTCTTTGGAATTCAGGACAGAAGGATTACACATTTCAGGAAGTGGAGGCATCGTTAATTATAAAAGTTCCTTCATGCGATCGTAATGGCACGTGATTATGGCGTTGAGATGTTCGAGGTGCTTTCCTTTAGTGTGGCAGCTAATTAGTCCCCGCTCAAGGCAGGGTCCCACTAAGATGTGAAAGCACGTCTTGCAAATGGCGCTCGCTCGCTGCCTGCAAGCCTGGCAGACGGTTTATTGTTTGGCGTTTTTACCCAGGTCCTAAGTTGCACGATGGGAATTGGGACCCTCTGAAGGAAAACAGTCGTCTCGCCGGCTGGCAGGGTGCCCGAAAGCCTGAGGCTTTAAAAAGAAATCATTGTTTTAAGATAAGGTGTCAAAGGAAAGGAGCCCTGCCTCCGCGTCTGGGCCTCCGTTTCACCTCTGGACGCTGGGGCTAAGGACCCCGGGTCGTCAGCGGGAAGGGAGATCGTGGGCTGGAAATGACACGAAGAGACGGGCAAAGCTATTGCTGCTGGGACCACACCTGGTCTCCCCGGAGTAGATGTTTTAATCTCTAAGGAAAGCCATTTCAGAGGCCGCAGTCACCAGCACTGGGCTGAGGGCTCCCTCTAAGGCACTGGGCTGAGGGCTCCCCACCCTAAAACTACAACCCCTCCAAGACAGCCCCTCTGGCATCGTCTCCTTTCTCAGGTGAGGATGCGGGGCTTTGGTGAGAAACCTGCCCACCGTCCTGCAGCCAGGAAGCTGGGGAGCCGGGATGCCCACATTCCAGGCCAAAGGCCCACACCCCGCCTTCTGGGCCTCTCCTTCTTTTTGCCTCTGAATCACCTGAGTTCCAGGTGGGCCGTCAGGCAGCGCAAAGTGTATTGCAACCTTAGACATTCTTTGTTGATTATCAAGCACTTCAGCACTGAAAAATCCATTGCACACGGGGTGTCAGGCTGCACCCAGGCTGGGGATCCCAGTGGCCAGAGAGGCCTGCTCCCTGAAATTGCCCCTTTCCTGTCCTGCTGGGGCTGAGCTGGAGGTCTGGCCCGGTGACCTCTGAGCAGCAGCTGGTGCTGACAGTGAGCGCAGGGGCAGCTCTCGTCCTGTGTGTCGCAGGCTTGGCCCTGGAGAAGGTGCCCTGCGTCCAGCCATGGACCTGTGTGCATGTGTGCGAGTACACAGTACAAGAATGTGTCTACACAGTGTACACATATGTACACACGGCTGTTTTCATCTTCCTCCTGAAATGTTCTCAAGTGATGAATAAGAGTGATGGTTAGACTCCTGACGTAGTTTAAAGTGAGATGAAGAGGGAGGAGGGGGAGGAGGATGAAGGAGGAGAGAGGACAGGCTGAGTGGGGGAGGAGGAGAGAACCTTGACAGCTGTGTTCTTCCTTCCTGTTGTTTTTTTCTGTCATTTGTGAGCCACCATCTCTTCACTCTTGGCTGAAATTGCACATCCCTGGGTTTGTCCTAATAGGGAAGTTTTCCTGCCACAGTAGACGAGCATGAGCGTGCCATTATTTTTATATGGTATACGTTATATTTTTAGCTCGTTCCAGAATACTAGAGATGGGTAGAGAAAAGGAGGAGGAGGAGGAGAAATGGCAAAAGAAGGTTACAAAAAGTACCCTGCATTTTCCGTTTTAGATGAATACCTCTTTCAGTTTTGCCAGAGTTACTCTGTGTGTAAATGGAACCATATGAAATTGCCAACATCTGGCCATTTTTGACCCACAAAAATGGCGATCTTAAATGATCCAGGCTCTCCCCTAAGAGACAGACTTGAGGAGGGTCTTTGTGAATGTGAGGCCCCTGGCCACCTGGTGTGCCCCACTCTGCACCACACACGTGTTTCAGTTTCCCAACACTCGGCATGACCTTGTTTGCCATTTACTGTCCTCCCCCCCTCCCCCACTTCCCCCTCCCTCT